GAGAGAGAGAGAGAGGTGACCCATTACTGACAGCTCCAGATGAGGAAACTGAGGACAGCAGTCCATAGTGACACAACCATCCTTCATTTTGCTTCTGTTGATGAAATTGTGGTTCCTACCACAATTGCAGGAGGGATACTGCTAATCAGCCAAGTTTTTCAACTTTTTAAAGATGTAGACTTTTTTTTACATTATTAGAATTAAAAGCCATGCATTTGCGGTCATGTTCATGGAATTTACGTAAAATAAAATGTTCCGAATGCAGAGTGGGTTTTGAGGGACAGGGCTGCTGACATCACTGTCATTTTTAGCTCTATGGATATTCCCGGGCACTTTTTGGATGCCGCTGGGCATTTCCTCCTCACTGGGTTTGGACACATCCTCTGAGCGCTCACAGGAAGCCAGCTCTATAAAGGGGCTTCTGCAGCAGCGGTGCCCAGCTGCTCTTGGCTGACTCTGCGCCAGAACCTCCAGGGCAGCAGGAGCTAGAAGCCTCAGGACGCACCAGGAACCCGGACTCCGAAACACCCTCCTCTCCAAACCGTAAGTCCTGACAAGGGCAGCCGAGGGCCGGGAAACTCAGATGATGACCATGGACACAGCCTTCTGATAAAAGACTTGGGGAAGCTCTGACTGCATTCAGACTGGATAAAACCTGGCTTTTCTCTTTGACTTACATGCCGAACACCTTACATTTCGTATTTATTCGTTAAGATAAACGTCTTTTAACTAAAGAGGGGGGCACTGGAACCCTTCCCCTAAAATCTTAGGAAACTGCTATAACCGCACTGTAGGATGTTGTGAGTACCTGGCTCCCTGGGATTTTATGCTGGATTAATTGCGTCTTTTTCCCCTCCAGGAAGGCTTTTCAAGTTGAATCTTTGGATAAAAAGGACTCTTGAAGTCATGATTGCGTCACAGCTTCTCTCTGCTCTCACTTTTGGTAAGTCAATGTCAGCGGTTAGAACGGGGTTTCCCATCCTCCATCCTCAGCACAACTGACACCTAGGACCAGATAGACCTTCCTTGTGGAGGCGCCCTGAGCACTGGAGAATGTCCAGAGCATCCCTGTTGTCCCCCCAGTGTGCTACGCCCTGGACTAGGGACAACTGATCTCTTTGTGTCTGTTTCCTTATGTGTGAAGGGTTGATCACAACACACCTGTACCCTAGAGGGATTGTGAGGATTCTGAATCGTTCACGGTCGCATGCAGGCCCTCAGACAGTGCGGCTGCTGCACATTAAGTGTCAACAAAGTTCAGTTATTCTGATTATTATTCGGCTGTCCAGAGGGTATACGGATGGGCTACGGTGGGTTGAGTCCAGGTAAAGCACCAATCAGAGAGTCCAGCACCAAAGAAACGCACAATAAACAGAAGTTTCCCCGTCCCTGCCCCTTCTCATTTTGGAAAGGGTGGAAAGAGTTTGAGTCAGCCCAAAGGCCACTGTAGACCAAAAATGAGACAATACAAAGCCCAGTTGGTGGAGCCAAACCGTAGCAGGACTGAACCTCACCACTCCCGTCACGTCTTTCCCCCAGTGCTTCTCCTGTTCAAAGAGAGCAGAGCCTGGTCTTACAACGCCTCCAGGGAGCTCCTGACTTTCGACGAGGCCAGCGCTTACTGCCAGCAAAGGTACACCCACCTGGTTGCGATTCAAAACCAGGAGGAGATCCGGCACCTGAACTCCATATTCCGCCACGCCCCCACTTACTACTGGATCGGGATCAGGAAGGTCAACCACCGGTGGGTGTGGATAGGAACCCAGAAGCCTCTGACCGAGGAAGCCAAGAACTGGGCTCCCGGCGAACCGAACAACAAGGACGCCAACGAGGACTGCGTGGAGATCTACATCAAGAGGGACAAGGACACGGGCATGTGGAACGACGAGAGGTGCAGCAAGCGGAAGCTCGCCTTGTGCTACACGGGTAGGAAGGCGCGGGGGGGCGGGGCCTCAACAAACTGCGAGGGCTTGCACACACCCATCTCCTCTGTGGGAAGCTCCAGTCCTAGGCGATATGGCTCTAGAACATTCTGTTTGGATGTAGGTGTGCGCATACACAGAGCGTGTGTAACACACGCAGGGCGTATTTCGGTTACTTGTTCAGCTCCGTGGTAGGGGGACAGCTGTCGAGTTCGTGAGGAGGTGGATGTTTCTCTTGTCGGTGCCAGCGACAGCCATGTCCCTGACATCTGTACACTAACATCAGGGCCCACAGTCATTAAGCCTGTAGCGGCTTTGTGAGGCACTTCCGGGAAGGTCTCCGGCACTCCGCATCGCTGGTGACACCTCCGTCGCGCACTGTTGATCCCAGAGTCAGAGGAACTCACCCTCCTTGTTGTGAACTACCTTTCCTACAGCGGCCTGTACCCACGCATCCTGCAGCGGCCACGGGGAGTGCGTGGAGACCATCAACAACTACACCTGCCAGTGCCACCCCGGCTTCAGTGGGCTCGGGTGTGAGCAAGGTAAGTCGTGACGTCACCTCTTGCTTCGCTCGAGATGGCAGCACCACCCTGCGTCCTAGCTGGCTTCGGAGCTGGGTCTGCACATCTTCCCTTCCCTGGGGCACCTGGCATCACGGGGCGGGTGGTTCCGAGCTGCGCCTGTGAAGCCAGACCCTGCGGGGTCCAAGTCCCAGACTCCCCACTTGTTAGCTCTGGCGCCCGGACCAGGCGATGAAACTGTCTGAGTCCCCACGTTCTCATTTGTGTGATGAGGATGATGACAGTGCTCACAGCCCAGGCTTGTGGTCAGGATTATGTGCACAGATGCGGACGGGATGTTTGCACAGTGCCTGGCATATAGGACACGGTCAAGAGACAGCAGTTCCAGTCCCCAGAACCCTGCCCACGTCACACAGGCAGACGGAGGAACACAGCTGACTTGGTTTCCCTTTTCAGTTGTGACCTGTCAGGCACAGGAAGCCCCCGAGCACGGAAGTCTGGTCTGCTCCCACCCTTTGGGCAACTTCAGCTACAATTCTTCCTGCTCTGCCAGCTGTGAGAAGGGCTACGTCCCCAGCAGCTCCAAGCCCACGCGCTGCACTTCCTCTGGGGAGTGGAGCGGCCCTGCTCCAGCCTGCGAAGGTAAGGCCCTCTCGGAAGCTGGGAACATTCTCCAGTTCTTCCCTCATCGCCTAGGGTTGTTGTTGTTGTTGTTGTTGTTGTTGTTTTTAATCCAATTTACCACATTTTTGAAACACTAGGGAACATTCTCTTGTTGTTTTTAATAAGACTTGTTCTCTCAGTCAGTATATATGGCCAAGATGGTACCTGCTTGGTGTGAGAGGAGTTTTTAGTCTCTGTTTGAAACAGGTGTTTCAGAGGCTCTGCTGATGCATATATAAGAGAATACACAAAACAGTGCGACCACATTCCCGGGCCCTGAATGGTTCCCCCATCTTTTTTCCCTGTTTACCTTCAATGTGGACTAATTTAGGACTGTGAAAATCAAGCAGTCTCGCTATCTCGTTTTCTCTCTGCCTTGTCTTTTGAGTCCAGGGACCAAAAATTCTTTCCTCCAAGTCCTGCTGGGCTAAAATCAATGAGTGTCCTATGACAAAAGCTATATTTTTTATCACAACAGTAAGTTGTGACAAAAGTCCTCAACGCTGGTTTAGTATCTGGTTTTCTTCTTCATTTTTGCCTTATGTAAAATGGAGCAGAGACCTGATGACAGATGTGATCCAACAAAGCAGGGATCACTCAGTACAGTCAACGTGAAAATCAGGCAAGAGGAAAATGCCAATGAGAAAACACAAAAGCCTTACTGTGGGTGTGCATGTCCCCGAGAATGAACGCAGGGCTTGGGGCCCACCCTTCCCAGGCAGCTCCCAAGCTCTGTTACCAAGTCCAATTCCACAGGGAGCGAGCAGATCATTATCTGTGAAATTCACGGCCCTCTTTCGAATCCACAGTGGTTGAGTGTGACGCGTTGACAAAACCCGCCAATGGGTTCATGGACTGTGTCCCGCGTCCCGGCCGCTTCACGTGGGACACAACCTGTGCATTTGACTGTGAGGAAGGGTTTGAGCGAGTGGGGCCCCCGCGCCTCCAGTGCACCTCGTCTGGGAACTGGGATGGCGAGCAGCCAACGTGCAAAGGTACAGTTGCTGCACGTGCAGATTCGCTGCAAACATCCTTTTTGTCCACCTGTACTTGAAATGGCCAAGCCAGACCTGCTCATGTAAATGGGTCCCTGTGTTGCAGCTGTGACGTGTGGCGCCATCGGCCATCCTCAGAACGGCTCTGTGAGCTGCAGCCACTCCCCCACTGGGAAATTTACCTATAAGTCCTCCTGTGCCTTCACCTGTGAGGAGGGCCTCCGGCTGCAGGGCCCAGCCCAGGTGGAATGCACCGCCCACGGGCAGTGGACTGGACAAGCCCCGGTGTGTGAAGGTAAGCCCCAGGAGCTCTCCTTCACGCTCCCCTTTCTTCAAGAGCAGCGACCTTCAACCCTGAGCAATTAGAATGAAACCTGATGCCTATTTAACTGTGGAAATCAGGTGTGATGGGCAACATTCATCTTACACCTTTGGGGGTCACATAGCAGAAACAAAGCTCACCCAGGGAGAGAATGATGCGTAATAAGAACGGATGCTTCTTTGCTGGTTTCTTAACTGTGCTGTGCCAATGTAACTTGACAGACATTGGCATGAGATGGGCAGACATCTTAATCTAAGGGGGATCGCCTTAGAGAATTTAAAAAGTCTCATGAGCCCATGACTTGAGGCTAAAGCTCTTGTCATACCTTTCTTCAGAAATTGCTCGTAACTAGCAGTGATGAGAATGTTTCAATCATAGTGTCAGGTGATATAAAGACACCCTTCATACATGCATGAGCACCAAAATTTAATTCACTTTAAGGCAAGAGCAAGAATATGGAAAACAAGCAGGCTTCCCCGTCAGACGCTGATATTCTTGTACCAAACACAGCACAGAATAATTTCCAGTGGCAAAAAGCCACAAGACCAAAAGCCCAACTGCAAAACAGACAAATTGGACGTGGCTGCCTTCCTAGCTTCCTTTCTGGTTGGCATCATCAGTACGCGCCCAGGACCCACAAGTTGCTCTCTGACTACACAAAATGTTTCTCTTGACCTAACTTCTTTCACACATCAGAACAGCTCAGAAGCCACTGGTCCTCCTAACGGCGGTCCTTCAGTTAGTGCCATTGTCAAGGAAGGGGCTGGAATGCAAAGAAAACACAGCCGTCTTCCCAGCTGTACAGCGAGGCACAGAGTGTCTCGGGTTCTCCGAGCGCTGTGTTGTCCCAGATGAACTGGGGTCGCTCCATCAGATGCCGCACACACTCTGCCATGCCGCTGCAATATTCTCTGACCTCCGCTTTGGTGTCTCAGCTTTTCAGTGCAAAGCCTTGCCCCGTCCAGAGAGAGGCCACGTGAATTGTCTTCCCAGCGCTTCTGGAAGTTTCCAAAGTGGGTCCAGCTGTGAGTTCTCCTGTGAGCAGGGGTTTGTGCTGAAGGGACCTGCAAAGCTCCAGTGTGGCCCCGTGGGGGAGTGGGGCAGCGAGAAGCCCACATGCGAAGGTAAGTTTTTATTTTAAGATAAAAGCTATTGAAGAGCCAGGGACTTGGATATTTGGAGAAACCCGTTGCTGCCGGATACAAACTTCTGTGCTCGCTCGTGTCTTCTAGCTGTGACATGTGATGCTGTCCGCCAGCCCCAGGGTGGCCTGGTGAGGTGCACCCATGCCCCTACTGGGAAATTTACCTACAAGTCCTCCTGTGCCTTCAGCTGTGAGGAAGGTTTCGAACTACGTGGGTCAGCTCACCTTGAGTGCACGTCTCAGGGACAGTGGACACACGAGGTCCCCTCCTGCCAAGGTGAGACTGAATTCAGACCTGGAGGAGGGTAGGTCAAGTGCCTCGGGGTTTTCTGAACCTAGATGGCCCCCAGGGGCTTGATCCTAATTTCCTAGATGCTGAAAACGAAGGAGTGCTTATACGTTACACTTACGGCTGACTTTTCAGCCAGTTTTAGCTTTCCAGATTTTTCCTAACATCTACCCGTGTGTGTCCTGTTTGCAGTGGTACGATGTTCCAGCCTGGCAGTTCCTGGGAAGATGAACATGAGCTGCAGCGGGGAGCCCGTGTCTGGTGCCGTGTGTGCGTTTGCATGTCCCGAAGGCTGGACGCTCAATGGCTCTGCCGCTCTGACGTGCGACGTCACAGGACGCTGGTCAGGGATGCTGCCTGCCTGCGAAGGTGACGCACTGACTGGTGCTGGTGGTCTGGGGCACTAGAGAGTAAGGGGGGCTTTCTGGCTAAAATAGTGGGCTACCCACTACATCCAAACCAGGTCGGAGGGGTGCCCAGGTTAACAAGGAGATATTTAATTTTATGGGGATGCAGAGAAACAGAAGAGGTGACATGGTGATAGAATGGGTAGCGTTCTGACAACTGGAAAAAGGAGAGCTGTGGGGGGTGGGTGGGAAGGAAAATGTGTGTGTGTGTGTGTGTGTGTGTGATAGAGAGAGAGAGAGAGAGGGAGAGAGAGAGAGAGAGAGAGAGCGAGAGAGCGCAGTATTAACAGAGGAGCACAGTGCCGTGACAGATCTTGGCGCGCTAGCTCTGCCTGGCTGTGGTGGGAGACAAGCTTGCAAAAGTGTCTCAGGCAGATCTTGGTCTATAACATCCGGTCTCTTCCTCACGTATTGAACACTGTAATCAATGTGCGAAGGAAAAGGTGGGGCAAGAGAATAGAAAGACTCCCAGCTCCAGGCCTTCCCATGACAGCTCTCCCCCGTTTCCTCAGCCCCCGCCAAGTCCAGTGTCTCCTTGCCAGTTGTACTGTCTGTGGCTGCAACGTCCCTCCTGACATTAACATCATTTCTCTTCTGGCTTCTGAAACGCCTTCGGAGGAAAGGTGAGCTTGTGTAGGAATGGACTCCAAACATGGTTCTGAAAAATACATATTTTTTCTCATGGATGAGTCATGGTCTCGCTTGCAGATGTAACCAGTAATTAGAATCTAGTTACTAGGTGAATAATAAACTGCAGTATAAGTGAGTAAGAGGTCTTGGGGGAAGTGTTTACAGCAAAACTCCAAGTGGGAAGAGTTTTAGGAAATATAAGTGTTAGTTGAGGTAACATTGTGCAGCCTCAGGAAAACGCAATTCACACTGAATTCTACGGTGCCCTTGAACTTGGGTCACATGGCTGCAGGGTTAGTGCTCACAGGAAAATGGATATCACGTTTCCAAAAAATGTATTCGGAATACAGGCTTAAACTGGGAAGTTCTCATAGGGAATGTGCAAACACATCAAACCACATTCCTGGTTTGTTTGACCTAGTGAGCATTTAAAATTTTTTGGAATTAAATTTTGACGTTTACAAAATAGGAAATTCCCCACAAAATCCAGAGCTGGGACTTGTCCTGACAAATGGGCAGATGGACCTGGCAAGCTGAGCCGGCGGCTCTCTGCTTGTGTTCGGAGCTGCGGGGCCCCTCGGACAAGTGTCCACTCTGCCCTTTACCCCGGGTGCCCCCAAACTGCGTTTGCACTCAGGATTACAGGGACCCTGGGGGCGTTGAGTGTGCAACCCCTGATGATGAATAGTCACATGGTTTCTGGATTTGATATGTCCTTAAAAGTCATTTACCCCAAATTAACAGTTTTCTTCTTCTTGCAGCAAAGAAATTTATTCCTGCCAGGTAAGTTGCATTCTTATACGCAGCATGCCATTGAACACTCTGCACATTTTTCTCTTTTCGTGTGGCAAAACAGTGCTCACTTAGTGTTCTCGTGTATTCCGCAGCAGCTGCCAAAGCCTTCACTCAAACGGATCCTACCAAACGCCGTCAAGTCCGAAGGAGCCAGGTAAGACTTGAAAATCGCATAGGGTTTTGAGTATCCTCTTTACCTGTTCTGTTGCTCCTTGAACCTTCCAAATCTGACAGTTTCCGGTGGGAGAACTGGGGTGGGGGGAACCTCCACCTTCACGGTATTTTATGGAATGGAGCCAGGATCTGGCCTTTATTGATTCATTTCATTTAAGAAAGTTAATAACAACGATGATGATAGCTAGCCCTTATATGGCACTTAACTATGTTCTAGGAACTATTCTAAGCCAGGAATTCTATGAGATAGGGCTATGACTATATTTATTATTACTTATTTAATTGGGGTGACAATGGTTAGTAAAGTTACACAGGTTTCAGGTGTACAATTCTGTAATCCGTCATCTATATATCACATTGTGTGTTCACCATTCAGAGTCAGTTCTCCCTCATCACCATATATTTGATCCCTTTTACCCTCATCTACCATCCCCCTCTCTATCGATTATTATACAGATGAAGAAAATGAGGCACAGAGAAGTTAAGTAACTTGCTTAAAATCTCAAAGCTAGCAAGTGGTGTAACCAGGATTCAGACCTAGGCAGTCTGGTTCTAGGATCTGTGGCCTTAACTTCTCTGCTCTGCTTTCTGAGAATTTGGAAGGGTTAAGTCCCCTCCAAACAGATTTGTTTCTAATTAATACTTTTGTGTGTGTGCAGTTTTAGGTTTACAGAAAAAGTGAGCAGAAAGTACAGACTTCCAACATCCGCCCTTGCCCCACCCTCCATCTCCTCTAATTATTAACATCTTGCATTCCTCTGGTATTTTGTTACCACTGACGGGTCAACATTGATACATTATTGTTAACTAAAGTCCACAGTTGGCATGAGGGTTCACTCTTGGTTTTATGCGTTCTATGGGTTTTGACAAATGCATAAGGACACAAATCCACTACGACAGTGTCGTACAGGATTAGTTTCACTGCCCTAACTGGATAGGATTTGGGCGCTCCTATTTGGACTCCCCCAATCAGAGTGCACACAGTGAACAGATGAATTTTGACATCACTATTAGTATGCAAAATATTAAGTGTCCTGATGGCATGCACACTTATATTTGCAGGAACACAAGTAAATGAGGGAGTTAGAGAAATACCCTGAGGACAGCAGAGACAAAGAGCTCCTCTCAGCCTCTGGCCCTGCTCCCCACCTGCATTTTTACGGCTGGGACCTTGGTGCCCATGAGACCTTCAAAGAACCAAAATCCAGTGGGCGAGGCCTGCTTGCCACCCAGAGGACTCAACGGCTCCTGGAGCGAAAGGACATTCTCTTCCCGGAAAAAGTAAAGAAGCCAAGCTCTGGAATCTCAGAATTCCTTCCCCAGGTTTCCCTTGCTCATTGGGAAACCTTGGTAGAGAAACACAGTACTTGGTAACATTGTTTCTTTCTTCTGCTCCCCTAGTATTTCAAACTGCTGATTATGAAGTTGTTGTCATGGGGTTGAGTAATACTTGTCAAAAGTTTAGAGGAAACAAATTGGCCAAAGATATTCTATTACTGACTTGGAAAAAAATGACAAATTTTTAACGCCCATGGATGACTTCATGGGAAAGGGTGTTAATGGTGCAAATCCTTCTGAATATTCTATGTAAAGATTACTAAGCACAGCCTTAGTCATGTTTATCCCTGTGGGACTCACTCTTTTTAAAGCGTTCTTAGAGATTGTATGTTTTTTTACTTGCATTGAGTATGTATTCCATTATTCTTAATTCAGTTCAAGTGTTGTAGGGACTTGAAAATGTGTAAATAGAAGGACTATGATTGGGTAATAATTACTTATTGTAAATCACCACCTCTTTGTTTATTAACCAATTCTAATGTTATATCTGTATTGAGTGAATGTATTTCAAGAAAAAGGCAGCTGTTGTCCCCTCACAATGGATAATGTTAACCAGTGTACAGTTCTGAATGTTACACAACAATTGCTTTAAGAACCATGAGTAGTATCAGGAGAGTAAAAATTAAATGGCCTACATGTGTATACTGTCAGGTATTTTTTTCAAAAATATGGTTTCCATGAGGCCAAATGTTCTGACTTGGTAAAAGCATAACAGCGAATGAATGAAGGTGCAATTCTGTGAATGTCTTTGTTGAAAAGAACAATGTAGAAATAGGGGCGTGCTCTGCATTCCTAAAAGGGTGTTTGTCAGATGTGATGTGTCAACGTCTAATTCTTGTCTAGTACATAAAATTTTACATTCATGCTAGGAACTCACCACGTAAGGAATTCACCCAGTGGATTTTACAAAGTGAAGACGTCTAATAATGATTTCCTAATTGTTTTATCATTTGTTGGGCTGTTCTTGAAGAGAGGAAAGCCTGAATGAGCAACTATTTATACTTATTTATGAGGGAGTTTAAAATTCCTAAGGAATCTGGTTTTTGGTTGATCCCTGGCAATGAGCAACCCCCAGTCAGTAATCGCCAAAGCTGCTCCAAGTTCACAGCGTGTGACAATCAAAACTCTCCCCCACTTCCATGAACTTGGCACGTGTTCAGAAGTGCTGAGGGAGGAGGAGTGCCGGCTGCAGACTGGCAAAAACAGAGGCAAAAGGAACCGGGGAGAGGTGATGAAGATCAGAACTGCAGAAGTTTTTAAGGGGCAAAGGATGCTGGGAAATTAGGGAGAGAGAAAAATCCACCTCTGGTGATCAGGCTACACATGGAATGAATTATCATTTTATCTGAAACTGTTCCAATGTTGTAAATATTTATATGGGCTGCATTGGAAATAGCTGTGTGAAATATAAATGTGCTCGGGGTTTGGGTTTTATAAAGTATTTTAAATTATGATTGAAAATATTTTGCAATTTTTAAAGTATGTATTTATTTAAGTGTATGTTATACTAATGGTATTTGACATGGCACTATAAAGTTTGATAATAAACGTGTTTATATTTAGCTCAGTGCATGGGCTCTTTCTTTAAAAATCCTGTGTTATTTAGATAAAACTCCCATACCATAAAATTCGCCCTTTTTAAGTGTACAATCCAATAGTTTTCGGTATATCTACAAGGTCCTGCAACTATCACCACTATTTAACTCCAGAGTGTAGCTGTCACTACAAAAAAAGTAACCCAATATCCATTAGCAGTCACTTTCCATCTAAAAGCCTCTGGTAACCACAAATCTACTTTCTGTCCTTCTCTGGACATTTCATATAAATGGAATCATACAATATGTGGCCTTTGAGTCTGGCTTCTTTCCCTTAAGAAAATGTGTTCAAGGCTAATTCATTTTATAGCACGTATCAGGACTTCATCCTCATTTTATAGCACATATCAGGACTTCATCCCCCCTGTTTATGTCTGAATAATACTCTGCGATGTGAATAGGCCACATTTTCTTTTCCCATTTGCCAATTGGTGGGCATTTGGGTTGTTTCTGCGTTTTGGCGATCGTGAATAATGCTGCTGTGAACATCCACGCACACGTTTTTGAGTAGCCTTATGTTTTCAATCCCCTCAGGCGTATACCCAAAAGTGCAATTGCTGAGTCATCCAGTAACTCCATGTGTCATTTTCTGAGGAGCAGCCAAATTGTCCTCCAGAAGGGCCTCCACCATTTTACAACCCCGGCAGCAGCGTGTGAGGGTCCCAGTGTCTCTACATTCTGTCTAATATTTGCGATTGTCTGTCTTTTTAAGTATCCCCATGCCAGTGGGTGTAAAGTGGTATATGTGTACAGATGGGTCCCTGCATCAATACTGAATGGTTGTCTAAAAAAATATCAACACTCTAACATCGATCGTTACGATCAGTGAAACGAAGTCCTCCTGGAGTCTGGCCTCACCCTCTTCTCAGTTCTCGGTGACTCGAGTTAAGCAACCCCCCTTCATTTACTCTCCAGACTCAGTTTTTCTCCAGGACTAGAGCCAGTGTAGGTTTTTTTGCCACCTAAAAATATGTCTTCTCTCTCCTGGAACAGTGTCAATCCACAAAGCCTGGTGTGTACCAAGCTAAAAACCTCAAGAATCTCATTGTTTACCAAAGAACCAAAATACCTGAAATTTCTGAGAAAGCACAGTTTCATTTTTGACTTGGTTACCCAGGCTCAAGAAAACTGTGGCTATGACACTGTCATCGGCTATCATCGGTTTCATTTTGATTTTATACTTCCTCTAAACTCAAAAGTATTGCTTAACAGAAAATTAAAGAAAAAAAATGAATAACAAGGATAGATTCTGCTAATGAGGTCTGTTTTCATGTAGGATTGAAACAGGCACATAACTTGAGACATTAGCTCAAAATGCAGAGAGAATGTGATTACTGGCTTTTCCTGGTCAAAAATGAGAGACTACACTGAATTGATTCAGAAATACAGGCGCCCAAGTCAAATGGAGATGGCTACATGGCAAGAAATAAGAAATGGAAAAATTCTTGGTGTGAGCAGATTAGAAGAGAGCTTTTATGGAAGAAAACAAAAATCTATCCATGCCAGAGTTCGACCTACATGCCCACCCACCTCCACGGCCTTATCAAGGTCAAGGCCATCATGGCTACCGCTTTTCCTTACACCTTGAGTGTAAGCCCTCTGATCGCCTTTCATCTCTTAGGCAGTTCACGCAAATTGCTGTCTCCTGACCCAACCTTGCTTTCCTTCCCAAATTCTTCCTTGCCGTCCTCTGGAATTCTTGCTCCACAATCAGCAACCCATCCCCGCGCCCTCCCCACTACCTTCCAGTTCCTCTCCAAAGCTTTCTTCTACCTTCTTGCTTTAACAGCAGACCTGCCTGAGAACATCACCCGCCCTGCAACTCTCTCTCGTGATAGTGTTTATTCTCTCATACCCCACACCTCAGGGTTGGAAGGCAGAGTGGTGTCTTCCCTTATGAGGCATTCCTCTTACTGATCTTTGTTCTTCTAGCCTCATAACAAGTGAAAAAGAGAAAGAAAACCACCTCTGGAGCTCACGACCCTAAGATGTCTTCTCACTGTCCTCATCGCTGCGCAGGGACCTACCAGCTCCTCATGCACTGATGACTGTGGCACAAGCGCTGGTCTTCCTCCTCCTTTAATCGGATCCTAAATTCCTATGTGCGTTCACCAGTCAGGTTCACAGCCCATCCCACCTCTCCAACAGGATTCTCCTCCACTCAGCTCGAGCTACCTTCTCCCCTGGGCATAGCGTTAACCTTGACATCACCAAGACTGTATCAACCCTCCAACCACACCATCAAGCATCCCGCTCTTTAATTACAGTCTCCTACTGCGAGAGGCTTATTGCTCAAGTATCTCATCGCGAAGCATCTTAATCCTACCTCACCGAACCCCCAGTTCCTTTGTTTCTAACCATCAACCTCTGCTTCTTCATTTCCATTCTCTCCTGCACTGTTGCCAAACGTGTCTTGTCTCCATACTGGGATTTTAAACTGTGCCTTTTGAGAAAACTCATTTTATTTGGGAAAAGTGGCCCTGCTCCTTACGAGGACCCCACGCCTGCATTTGTTCATCCACTTATTTGTTTATTCTTCTAATACATATTTGTTGAGTGTATACTATGTGTCAAGAATGCTACACTCTAGAAGTACAGCAGTGCACAAAGGCATTTTGTCCCCAACCCCACGGAACTTAGACTCTCCCAGAGAAGACAGATGGTAAACAAACAATTGTACAAATGATGATTTAAGTATAATTAAAGAAAGGAAGGAAAACATGGGCTGTGAGAGCACTCAAGAGGTGGCCTAGTCAAAGGGTAACGCCAGGTGTTCCAAGGCAGCGAGTGGGCAGCAGCGGCTGTCCAGCGTGGATGGGCTGCGTGCGTGAAGGGGCACGGTGTGAATGAGGACTAGGTTTTGGGTGGCCTGTGGGGGGTGTCAATGACTTGGAGCCAGAGTATCTCAACTGCAGACCGAGAACCTGGAGTCTGGTGAGTTTATGGGGCCTTCATCGGTAACCCAGGTGACAAGGGCCTGTTCCAGGGCTGTTATGGGGAAGGAAACGCAGTTATTAGAAGAACTATTGATAGGAGTTTGCGCCATGAGCAGATCAGATGAAGAAAAAAATTCTCCTTCGTTATGGCCAAAACTCTGTTGTGCTTTTAATCTTTTCTTTTTCTTTCTTTTTTCTTTTTAAATTTATAAGAGTTTATTTGAGCCAAACTGACAAAAATTGCCAGGAAGCAAAGTTTCAATGGATTGAGAAAATGCTCCCTATTCTTTCTTTTTATTTTTCCTGCCTTGTTGCTGCACATGCCTTTTGCGGTAAAATGACTTTATAAACCAGCAGCATCACGATGGATAAGCACATAGGAATAGAAAAATACTTTCATTTCTCTTGGCTTAGAGTCTTGGGAGGAAAACGCTAAAATTGTAAGGTGGAAGTCATACTTATTGTGAACCTTTGGCTTAAGTAACTGGAGGGGTGGGGTTATAAGCTACCGAGATGGGGAAGGCTGTGGGGAGAGCACTCCAGATTAGGAGGGTAGGTGCACAAGTTCAGACTGGCCCATGTGAAAATGGAGCGGCGGATTCAACAACTCAGTGGAGAGAGCAGGCATCTGGCTGAGAGCATTCCCAGGGCAGAGGAGCGGCCCTGGATGGAAATAGAAACTCGGGAGTCATCAGCGTGTAGACGGGGCTCCAGGTTAAGAGGCTGGCCTGGGTCAAGTTCATGAGGGTAAATAAGAGAAAAGCAGTGGGCCCTGGAGGGTTTGCTGGTTGTGGGGCAGAGGTAGAAGCAACGGAGGACACAGACCAGACCTAGGGAGGGACGTGGGGGGAGAACCGGGAGCTGGGTGGCCAGAGCGGGGCAGGATGGAGAACCGGCTTCGGTGGCCTGGAGGACCTGAATGAGCAGCCTCGTTCACAGGGCGCGTGCGGGTGACAGCCTGACAGGATGAGGGCTTGAAGAAGAGGGCAGAAACCCCCCGTCTAGACACGTCTTTGGGGGAAGAGGAGGAGACGGGCTCTTCCTGGGGCTCCTTGGCTCCAGCTCTGGGCCCATTTCCACGTGTCTTCCGGGCTCCATCCGGAAGTCCAGCTGAAGCCCCAAGAGCACGGGCTGCAGAACTGACTGCCCCCGGCTCCGAATCCCAGCTGTGCGTCTTACCAGTGATGTGACTAAGGCGACTTTCCTAGCCTGTCTGAGACTTTTTACATGGGGATATTCATAGCAGCCACTGGGGAGCAGCAGTATTTAATCTTTGATAAAATACGATAGTAAGTAGGCAGCCTTAACTCCATAGCTATTGCTGTTATCTTTTTTTAAATGCAAATCTGATGGTCAGTGACTCTTCCCCACCAGGGCACATGGGCTCTCCTTTCCTAGGCAGTCTAACTCCTTTCCATTTTACACTCAGCCCTCAAACCCCTCGGGGCAAAAAACTGGAGCTGCTCTTTCTCTTTGAGCTTAAGGGGAGGAGGTGCCCTTCCCAAGGACGTCCACTAGGGGGTGAGCAAGGAAAGCGGGAAGAAGAAGGAACTGAAATGAATAGAGCCTGGTGGTTAGCTCTACCCAAGTTTCACTGACAACGTAAATGTGTCCGAAGCACGGTTTTGATTGTGTGGTGTTTGCAACCATCAGGGCCCCTCTACCACGGAGAGCCAGGAGTCAGCCTAGTGCTTATAAAAAAAGAGAGACAGAGACAGAGATATGTAGAGAGGGAAAAGAGAGGGAGAGAGGGAGGGAAAGAGGGAAGGAAGGAAGGAAGGAAAGAAGGAAGGAAGGAAGGAAGGAAGGAAGGAAGGAAGGAAAGAAGGAAGGAAGGAAAGAAGGAAGGAAGGAAGGAAGGAAGGAAGGAAGGAAGGAAAGAAGGAAGGAAAGAAGGAAGGAAGGAAGGATTGGAGAATGGAAGAAGGAAGGAGAGAGCGAAGAAGAAAAGAGGAAAGGTAGACTCTAATAACACTACCCTTGGCCAGCAGCTCTTTTTCTCAGGGGAGGTGACAGAGGCGATCAGACTAGGAAAGAGGTAAAGAAAGAGGAGCCAGAAGAGATGGGGGAAGTGGGAGGGAGAAGGGGAGGGGAGGGTGTGAGAGTGGGTTAGAGAAATGGAAAAAAGCAAGCCTTTCGGTGACACTCAGCACAGCGTCTCCGCAGCACAGCACACCTAGCCTTGGGCCGGGACTGGAGGGAGGCCCCTGGAGCCGAGAGAGAGGTGAAGCTCCCAGAGGACGAGAGGAGGACGAGCAAAGCCATGGTGAGCTTTCAGCCTGAAAGACTTTCAGGTGCTCAGCTAGAACCTCCTCTGGGGACTGCAGAGGCAGGGGGCAAGGGACAAGAAGCAACACATTTCATTCCTGGTTTTACAAAAGCTACGAAGTAAAACTGCTCAGTGCTCGTAGAATCTCTCCTTTCAGATGTGCTGACTTCTTGGCTTGTGTCTGGGGAGCTTCTGGAAGGACTAGCTTGGTGGAATTAGCACTTTTGCTACAAAACCCAGCAGCTACCTGAGAAGTGATGCACTTCAGACAATCTGTGGTCTTGTCATCTGAGTTGCTCAAAATATATTTAGTTGAAAAGAAAATGAACTGCTTTTCTTTACTGGTGTCTGGCTACCTAATTCTTTTAGGTATTGGAAGCAGTGGCCCGTCATAATCAAGGGTGAGATTTTAACATTAAATCTAGACATCAGTCATTTATTAAGCCACAATGAACAATTTAAAATAATATATACAAAGTATCAAATTGTTTCCTCTAACAGCTCAGCAAAAAGGTAGGTACAGAAAAATGACTGAAATGTAGGGGAAAAAAATCAAGCAGTAACAATCAACAACTTGAGGCTATGACATTAAAAAAAATAACAGCGTCAGTTTTGAGGCAAATTTAACATTACTCTTTCCTCAGTGCCTGGGAAGTCTATGACCTTGGCCAGGGTTACTAAGTATATGTGTTTTGTTTTGAATTTTAAGAAAGTTGTAGGCATCTCCTTAAGGTGCTGTAGATGTGTCATTGAAGCGTATAGATCCAAGTATAATTTTGTATTTTATTTTCAGACACTTTCATGGAAATGCCAGAGTGCTCAGAGGGTCTTCAAGCTGTGGGTGTGGACAGTGCTCTGTTGTGGTACGTTCTGCCGTTTGTCAATTGCTACGCTTCCCCCCCCCCCACTTGTTTCTTTTCCCTAAGTATCCACTAGGTACACATAGTCACAGGGAAAATGAATAGGTAAGTAGCCGTTTGTTCGTTCTAGCCTTTCTATGAAGACCTCTTTTCTTCCTCTCACCTTTAGTACTTCCCCCGAAACCGCCTAAGCCTGCCACACCCTTGCAGCCCGAATGCTGATAAACCCACAGAGATCTTAGTTATGGAGGCATAAGGCCAATTGGGCAATACCGAATAGGGAACTGACAACCTACACCAAGTCCTCAGCACTGGGCTTCCTTGTGCTCACCTAGGGCTGAGTGGACATCAATGGCGTTGCTACAGTTCCACTGGGAGCTCTGCCAGGCAGGCCCTTCGCATGTGTTTCCATCCTCCTCCCACTGACGTGACAAGTTTTATGTCTGATGCTTGAAGACTGTTCAGCAACAGTTTTGAAATTGCTTTCCCATTTCCTAAGTAAGCTAGTTTCTTCTTGCTCCCTCGCTTGCATTTTCAGCTCTGGCCATGCGAACGGGCCGTTTCCTGGGCCCTTCACACATTCCTTACAACACATCTGCCTCATGCCACCTGCGGCCCCAGGGCTCTTTTCATTCAACAAGTGTTTTCCGAGTCCCTGCAAGGTGCCCAACATGGCTCTAGGCACTGAGGATACAGCGGTGAGCAAAACAGTCCCTTCCCTCTTAGAACATTCTGGTTGGCATGCTCCTTCAAAACTCTGCTCAAGTGTTTAATTTCTGGTATTCTTTACTCATATCCATTTCACAGCTCCTGGTTCACTGTGGGTGTGTCTAATGTGATCAAGGTTAATTCTATGTTTTCTTTGCATCTGCTAGTCCTTGTTAGGAATCCTTAGGAGACTATAAACATCGGGTCCATTTTCTGTGGTTATTTCTCCATGGTATTTGCCCTACACAATGAAAACTCTGTCACTTTTACCTTATGGTATAATACTGTTTCACATAAACCATATGATGCTTAGAATGGCATGTATAATTTTGGGGTCATTGTGTAATTATGTGCTTGTTTTGGTTTCTTCAAAGCCCTCATAGTTGAAGCACCAGTATGTTGATTAAATACTATCAATTGAGTATCTTTGCGTACAGATCACGACCTAAATAAATTTCACAGTCCTACATCATTTGGTTTTGTAGGTTATTCTTTTTTATTAGCATTATGCAGTTAGATATCTAAGGATTGGGCTGTATACCGAGGCTTTCCCAGGAGCAGTTCCTTCTACGGCAAAATACTACCTTTTTGATATGAAAGCGATTCTTATCAATATGCCAATATTCCTGTTCTTATTTTACTCCTCTCTTAGAAACTTAAATGTTGGCCTTCAGAAAAGGATCCTGGGACCAAAAGTGGATAGTAAATCTTAGGGATATATGATATTATGATATTATACTTAAATTCACTTTAAATGATTGACAGCGACTAAGATAAAGGAAATGTGAATTTCTAAACTACGTTGGTTAAATTTCATGTGAAAGAATTATTTCATGAAAATAAAGCCGCCAAATTTGTCTCTAGAAAGCCACCAAATATGTAGAAAATCAAGCTGTGTGCAAAAGAATTCTTTATTATGGTGAAAAGTGATTAGGACTAGGAGAGCTAGCTGCTGCTTCAAATCTGCACATGACTAATTCTGTGGTCCCAAGGAGGTAACTGATGCCCTTGAAGTCTCCGTTTCCTCATTGCTAAGCAGCAGACTCAGTTCCAGGTTTTTTTCCAGCTCAAACAGTGAGTCTGTATCATGCACACTGATGTCTTTCAGATTTCTCTGCATATCATGGAACCCACGGCTGGACTTACCATTACTCTGACAAACCCATGAACTGGCCAAACGCTAGAAGTTTCTGCCAACAAAACTACACGGATTTAGTTGCCATACAAAACAAGGGGGAAATTGAGTACCTGAACAAGACACTTCCCTTCAGTCGTTCTTACTACTGGATAGGAATCCGGAAGGTAGGAGGGGTGTGGACTTGGGTGGGAACCAACAAGTCTCTCACTGAAGAAGCGGAGAACTGGGGAGACGGGGAGCCCAACAACAAGAAGACGAAAGAGGACTGCGTGGAGATCTACATCAAGAGGGCCAAAGACGCAGGAAAATGGAATGACGACGCTTGCCACAAACGGAAGGCAGCCCTGTGTTACACAGGTAGGGAGGCTGTCCAGGCTGCTACGCGGCTCAGGAAGGGCCAGAGGGAGAGTGATAGGGCCAACCCCATGGGAATGCTGGGGGACGAGAACGGCGGTAGCGCATTTTAACCAAGTCCGATCCTCGAAGTACACTGGAATCATTTTCGCTTTGGAGTATTTTTGCTGTGTGAGGCTGGTCCCAACACCTAAAAACTATACCCCTGATTCCGTTTATATACAAGATGATAAGTATCCACGCAAAGTAAAGAGGAGGAAGTAGACAGTCAGTGTCCCTGATAATAAGGCAGAGAAGGGGGAGCAGAGAGATGCCCCCCACCCCCAGAGCTTAGGCTCGCGTCACCTCCGTTTCCTCACTGTAAAGTGGATGGCTTGGTGTCGCGTTTCCTTCTTGGCCTAACCATATAATTCTAGATAATGAAAAATTGCGGTGTTTCATTGTCTGTGCTGTATGAAAATTTCTGTAAAGGCTATTACAACACTTGCAAAACAGTTGGGATTTTTAACGGTGAAACATAGTCCATTTGGTCTCTTGTAAATGGGACTCCCTATTAATATAGCAAAGCTGGACTTTGCCATCTTTCTAGAGATCTTTCTATAAAGAAAGACAGTGGCAAGCACACTACAGAAATGATTAGCGGGTCATCATTTAACCTGCTTATTACATTAAAACCAAAGTAATTTCAAGAGTTTCAATGCATGCCACCAAGTTTCCCCAAAATGTTAGAGTATTAGCATTGGTAAATTCATTCTAAAAACAAATGTCTATGGCTATATGGCCAGTATATGATGTAAATAAAAATTTTAGCGCATGGTTTTTATGCAAAAAAATGCTACAAATGTACGAATATAGCTTTCCTGCTTATAAAAATAGCCTCGGCCAAAAAAGTGACCTATATCTAAAGAAATGACTATGAGTACTAAAAAGTCATCACATTAACATGATTGATTTCTGACCCCCTTGAAGCTTCTTGCCAGCCTTCATTGTGCAGTGGCCATGGAGAATGCGTGGAAACCATCAACAATTACACCTGCAGCTGTGACGTGGGGTACTACGGGCCCCAGTGCCAGTTCGGTAAGCCCCTTTCCTCTCTTTGTTTCTCCCTGTGTCAAATTAGAGGGGTCATTGCAGCTTCTGGAAGGTCATGGGGACAAAGTGATCCTAGCCATTCTGAGAAACGAGAAGTTCTGATCAGAAGGCTCTGCTTGCACAATGGTACTTTTCCGTAAAGATTTCATAAGTCAGCATGAAGTTTCAATTCACTCCTCAACATGTCTTCCTGAGAGCCACAAAGAACACAGCTGGGAGGATTAAAACAATGAATCAGGCAGGCTACATTCCTGCTTGGATGCAACCCATCCTCTCATGAGCTGGTTGGGTTCATCAGCACTCTAAAGGCTGAGAAAAACGAAAACATACATTGTTAGGAGGCGAGTTATCCAGAAGGGAATCTTGCTTGTGTATGGAATCCTCAAAGTCATACCAGGGCAAGGCCAAAAAGAAAAGTTCACATAATGATACACAATACACATAGATCAAATATCTATAATAATAAATCCTACACATTTAGTAGGGCTGGGTATTTTAGGGGCTATAAAGGCAAATCTATTCTAGATTCTGCCCTGAAATCTATTATAGATTTACAATTAACTAGTGGAAATTATATAGGCTCATAACTTAGATTGATGCAAAGCAAGATAAGTTGGAATAAACTTGTGGAGACTGGAAATTGCCCAATGAAATAATCTGGCCTTTGCTTAACAAGGAAAGGCCACTTAATATCGTAGCACTTGCATTTAGGGCAACCATCCTAGAAGCTGTGCATAAGATGGGCTGGGTAGCAAAGAGAGAGAAAATGGAGAGAATCATTAGAAGTCTATTGAAATCATTCAGCGTCACGGTGGTGGAAAGAGATAGGAAAGAAAACACAGATTCAAAGACAAGGAGCCTTTGACGCAGTCAACTCACTACTGAAAGAAACATAACACCCTTTGACTGATACTGACTGATTTTCAAAACTATGTTTGAAGTATCTGGTGCACAAAATAGAAAATTACGAGGAAGGAAAAAAAAAGCAACATTTGTAAAGAATACAGAATTAAAGCCAAAATAAATGTAAATGTCAACCAAGTGGAACAGATCAAACTCACTTCACTTGGCTCTTGAGCCATGACTCCCACCCAATACTTGACCCTCTCTGCATTCCTAAACTTTATTGTTTAATTCTTATGTCGCTGGCATGCCCATTGCACTGCTTTTTGAACATTTTGATCTTCTTTGTTTTGGCTATCACCCTTTCCTGGTTTTCTTTCTACCTTAGGATCATTTGCCTTTGGGTTTCTCCATGGACTCTAATCCAAGCCCATGGGTTAACTATTGTTATTTCTTAGCTACCTTTTGTCCATTGTTCTTTTGACTTTCTCAGCCCCTTTGATCAAACCTGCCAACTTTCATGAACTCACAAATCTATGTTAGCTTTGCACTGACAAATCTGTTTCCAGCCTTGAACTCTAAATATGCAAAGCATATCCTGTGGTATGCCCACACGACTGTAAAATCATTGTCCTCACACAGCTTTCCTTTTTGCATTCCTTATCTCTGTATGTGGTACCACCACTTACATAGGTACCCTGCTGTGAAGTCCCCTCCCCCTATATTTATGCAACGTAACACACTACTCATGTTTATAACTTACTATTTCTCCAATCTGTCTACTTGTCAACTCTACTACCATCGCCCTCATTAACTTCCTCCTAGATCATTGCAGTCATTTCTAAGCTGACTTCCACAGCTTTAAATGAGCTCCCCTCAAATACATTATTCATATGACAGGCAGGCTGGTCACTTAAAAACAATCAAACAAACATCACATATATGTGACCATCCACCCTTTAATTTCTACCTGTCGTTTTTCCTACGGGATACATCTAAACTCCTCAAGGCCTAGAGTAAGGCCGATACCTAGTAGGTACTCATCAAAACAGTGGGAACAAAGAGCATTTTGTCTTAGCTCCTGTCTGTCTCCCTAATCTCAGCTCCATCATCGCCTACCTCCTCTTTCCTTTCAGTAACATAAAAATGCATGTAGTTCTCCACACTGACCAGACGTGCTTTGCATCTCATCAGCTTGCTTATGGTTTTCTCTCATTGTGCATTTGGCTAATGCACCTGTTTATCTTTAAGACATAGTTCAGGGACCTCTTCTTTAAGGAACTTTCTGTGGAACCCAAGATAGGCTAAGTGTCCCTATTTTTCGTTCCAGTGACTCCATGTCTATCTTTCTTAGTTATCCCACATTAGATGAAGTCAGCTATTTACCTGCCTGTGTCCCCTGGTAGACTGAGAGCCACTTGGGGTCAGTATCTTACTTATCATTGTATCTGTAAGATTGAGATTATGCCCGGAATATATTAGGCACTTGCTTGTGGAATTAGTTGAACTGGACAATGCAATTTACCTGAATTCGGACTTGGGCTGTATCTGGAAAATATATAACATCTTCTAATTCCTTGGATTCATTCTTTATTGAAATTTTAAGAGCAAGAACAGGATGGCTCAAATTTGAGAAGAAATAAGACCCGAGAGTTGCAATATTTGCCCCAATGGCATGGCAGGGCCTAAAAGGTGAGGACTGATGTTCAAGTCTTAATTTGATCCACTACACCACCAACTGGAGAGGGAGATAGAGTTTCTGGAGAAGGTTGTCCAAATCAGAACTAAAGTTGTAGAACTGAGCTAGGAAGGGTGAAGACAGAATCGAGGCTGAGATGCTTCCTAAAGCTTTAATCTCCTCTCATAAAGAAGACTAATGATGGACACCCACTGTTTCTCAAAACCGCCTACTCCCAGCACACTAATGTACTCAAGGGCTCCTATTTGACTGTAATTTCCAATCTGTGCTTGCTGTTCCCACTTAAACCCATCTAGGTTTAAACACTCTTTCCCCAGATAATGCCAAAGATAACAAAACCAGCTAATGTTTAATTAAGACTGCCTATGAACCAGGTTCTCTTCTAAGTCCTTGACTTGCATTAAAATCATTTCATTCCCACACAACTCTAGGAAGTTAATACAATGATCACATTCCTATCTCATAGATGAAGAAACTGAGCCTGGAGGGGTTAAGTCACCTTGCTTAAAGGCACTTGATTATCAAGTGGCAGAGCTAGGATTCAAACCCAGTGACCAGGTCCTCTGACCACGACCCCATGCTGTTTCTTTTCTTCTTCTTCTTTTTTTTTAAATTATTTTTCTTCTTCTTTTTTTTAAATAACTTTTTCTTTTTTCTAAATTGGGAAACAGTGTGTTTTCCAGGACCCATCAGCTCCAAGTCAAGTAGTTGTTTCAATCCAGTTGTGGAGGGCGCAGCTCAGTGGCCCATGTGGGGATTGAACCGGCAACCTTGGTGTTATGAGCACTGCATTCTAACCCCCTGAGCTAACTGGCCATCCCTGTTTCTTTTCTTATTGCAGTGTTTCAGTGCGAGTCTTTGCAGGCCCCCAAGCTGGGCACCATGGACTGTATTCACCCTTTGGGAGACTTCAGCTACAGCTCACAGTGTACCTTCAATTGCTCTGAGGGAACAGAAATGGCTGGGTCTGAAGAAACCACCTGTGGACCATCTGGAACGTGGTCATCTCCAGAACCAACCTGTCAAGGTGAGAAACCGTTCCCTGGAGGCTTTGTCATAACGGTGCTAGGTGTGCAAAGTGAGAAAATGTGGTGAAGTCTTGCTATGAAGCCTGTATCCTCTCCTGGAGCACAATTTAACCTGAGGTTAGACTGTGATGCTTTTCAGAGGGGTTACTATTACTAAAATCAAAAAGAAAAACCACAAACAAAAAAATAACAGCCTCCGAAGCCATCTCACAGCACGCACGAAATTTTCAGCCATCGTTGTGGTTACACTGATTTTTTTTTCCCACTCCTCATTGTCATGGCATAAATAATCACTCGTGCTGAACCTCAGCTAAATTTTGGTTGTTCTCCCTGTCAATCACACCTACTTTTTGTGGTGTCGTACTTAACACCAACCAAATATCCTTCTCGGAGGGTACAGGTCTATTTTTATTGTTTTATTTGCTTATTTGTGAAATCATCTTTTACTTTTTCTCCTCCATGAACTCTCAGGAGAATAACAACTGCTGGCAAAAACAAAAAAGCACAATTTATTGATCTTTTTTATATGTGACATATGGGGGACGTTTTAACTGTCAAGCAGATGATCCCTACACGGGAGAACACTGGTGGTGCCTGAGCTTGGGAGGTTTGGCTACAGTGTCTACATGTGTGCTTCTGACTCACTAGTTTAAGTGGTTTAATTGCAGGAGAACTGTCAAAATCATTTATTGAAATCATAGCACTAAATTGACTGGCCTGCTGAATTTTACAAAAGATGAGGGACTTGCCCTAGTGAACTGGGATGTTTTTGCCCATTGCTTGGGTGGACTTGAGAGCAGGTGACAGGGTGGAGCTGCCCTACAATCACTATGGAGAATATTCTGGAAGAGCTCTTGATGCAAAGGCCATGTAGCAGAGCACTTCCAGCGGAACTGGAGAGTGACCAGGGCTGGGGGGGGGGCCCCGGAGGGCCAAATCCCCTTCCTTTCCCCCACCTCCCACCTCCAAAGGCTTTCCTTGCTCCCCTGGGCTCACCCCTGACTCACCACTCTCCATCATTCTCCAAAAAATTGAGTCTGGAAGCATTACCAGAAGCAGTTTCCAGATAGAAATGTCTAGATCCCTGCGGATGGCTCCCCAGTTGAGGCAGGCACCTTTGGCTAAAAGCCTTTGGTCCAAGGAGGACCCCTGCTCAGAAATACTGGTTTTTCCTTTTTCGTTGAAGTGGTTTCATGTAAGCCACTAACAGCACCCGATTTGGGGACCATGGACTGTAGTCACCCGCTGGCCGAATTCAGCTTTACCTCCACGTGCACCTTCAACTGCTCAGAAGGCACTGAGTTGATCGGGGAGCAGGAAACGACCTGTGGATCCTATGGAACCTGGACGAGCCCTGGTCCAATATGTCAAAGTGAGTAAGTTTGCCCCAATATACTGAAGACTTTACAGATGGAGCTGATGGTGGGGGAAGATATATTGAGCCTCTGCATTTTAGTTTGCTAAATGTATGTGGCTTAAAAATAAAGGTGTGCACATTAATTTACTATAAAATCCTTGGCTAGGCTTGTCTCTTCCTTCAGTGAAAGCCACTTCTTCTTTCAGCCAATTTGCAACTCCTCCCATCTTAACCCTTAACCTCTAAGCCCTCTGTCTCTACCCGCTTATTTCTTATGCATTCTTCTATTCCAGGACAATCTCACTTCTCTGCTAGTCCATTCAAGTGTGGCTACAAAGGTCCCCAATGGCCACCTAATTCCCAAAGCAGTGGTCACTTCTCAGGTATCACTAATCCAATGCCTCCCGAATCTGTCTGTGCACGAGGATGACTGCGTCGCCCCCATCTCTCCTTATCATCTGCCTGACACAGTGCCTGACAGTAGACGCTCCATAAATGCACGTGAAATTAGCATGTGAAAGAATAGCCACCCCTATCTGCCCCTGAGAGCATCTGCACCAATGGCAAAAGTCTGGAAATGGTAGGGTCCATGGATGCTGTTGGAGAAGCTGGTCTCTGTGTGGCCAGGGCCAGGTGGTGGGTTAGAGGGCTGGGAGGTGGTATGCCATCTTCAGGGGAGGACTGTGTATCAGGCGTATGGGACTTATCCTTTTAAGGTGGGGCTACTTTGCATTTCCTCATCCTCATGCAGCCAATAGGCGCCCTCGGTTTGGATCCTCTGGGAGTTTGCACCTCCTTCCCATTATAGATTAGGGCTTGGGGATGGCAGCACTTTGAAAGGGTTCATCAAAGCCAAGTGAGGAATAAGGGACATAGCCACACCCAGTGCCAACATGCGAAAGGAGGCTCTTTAACTAGTGACATGACAAGATGGATTTTTTCCTATTGGTATTTTTTTTAACAAGGCTCCCAAATGAACTTAGTTCGCACTGACAAGAAGATACATAGATATATCCTCTTACTTATTTGTGAAGAAAGTGGAGGGGGTGGTAGGGCCACATCATTTGAAAGACAGATTTGTACCGGGTCCTTGACCTGTAAACATCAAGCACCTATGTTTGCACAGCTGCTTCCAAGTAAAAGCACTAATGGTTTCCTTTGATTGATAAGGTATCTTGTGCAGATCACTGGCTTTTATTTTTCCTGCAGTCAGGTCAGACGATTTAGCTCTCCTCAGTGCCTTAGAGTCCCATCCATTGAACAAGGACCATGGAGCTAAGTACAATGATGACTGTCTCTTGCCAATGTCTTTAGGCGCATCTCCCAGGAACTCCACTAATCACAGACCTTGGAAGTGAGATTCCACAGGCATTGTGCTAGAAGAGCTGGCCCAATCCTTTGCCTCCGACTCATCACGGGCATCCCCATGCCAGCTTCCTCAGGTGTCAGATGGCATCCAATGGGCTACTGTTAGGAGATGTAGGGAGGGAAAAAGTCCAATATCATGAGATGGAACTAAGGAAATAATGCTTGCAGCTTCCTGCTATGCGCCTTACTGGTTTCTCTTTCAGAACTGGACAGGAGTTTCTCGATGATCAAGGAAGGCAACTATAACCCCCTCTTCATCCCAGTGGCAGTCATGGTCACCGCGTTCTCGGGGCTGGCATTTATCATTTGGTTGGCAAGGCGATTAAAAAAAGGTATGTGAGCTTACCTTCATGTGAAAAATAATACAACTTTAAAGAGGAAAAAATAGAGAGACCCACAGGAAATTAAGTATGATAGCTCCGACTGAGGCAGGATGCCATGCCCTGTCTCACATCAGTCCCTGGAGATGTGGGAAGCAGCGCAGGACACACTTGCATTGAAATATGTTGGCTGATGTTTGCTTTTCATCCAACGAAAATGCATTTTTTAAAATGCCTCCGGTCTTCAAGGCAGCTTGCTAGGGTGGTAACAGACAAATGAGATGCTCTAACGGTTCTTGGCTCTGGTTGAATTCTGAGCAAAAGGATGCCTGTTGTCTGCCCTCCAGGGGCCTGTGTGCTCTTGATCTTAGTGTCAAAACTCCACTAGGAAGTAAACCTCATGTCCAGTAAGGGGTTCAAGGCGCCTTGTCAAGTGCCTCATATCTGCCTGGCTCCTGACATGTGGAGCTGCACTGTCCGTGGGAGAAATCCCCCCACTTTCCCCAGGGGCACAGCCCCCACCAAAGGCACCACACGCTCCCACTTCCCCTCCACTCTGGACGGAGAAGAGAAGGGAATGAGGAGAGCTGCCTCGAGAAGCCAGCATCTGCTGCCTGGAGTAGCAGATGGGACACCAGAGAAGAGGGGACACTCTCCCCTCCCCCGAGCGTGTCCAAAGCCTAAAGGGGAACCACCCGCTGGTGACAGGCCCACAGTCTGCGCAGACCTGGGGTTGTGTGCAGCCGTGTTATCCAACATCACCTGGCAGGAACATTCAAGACTATGAAAGTCATGGGCATTAAGCAGCTTTTAACACATTCCTGCTTCAAGTTCAGGGCTATCGATGACCTCAGAACAGCTGCTTACCAACCGCTCTGTGCTGTCTTTCTGCACCTCCACCCACCCAGCCTTACTGGCAGTTGTGGGAGTATTAGCCACCAGTCCCCACTGGGCTTCCGCTAGGATCTGATCTCTCACCCCAAATGTAAGAATAAGAGAACTAGATTCCTTTTTCTAACCAACCCAGAGAGACAGTGGAGAGGGCGCGCCAGATGTGCAAGAACTTCATGAGCTGCAAACTGGGAGCACGGAGCAGTTCAAATGTCTACTCCTGCTGTTAGAAATTCTAAGATCGGATGCCAACATCTTACAGCACCATACTAAGTATGTAAGCATGGCACTAAGGCAAAAGGAAAATTAGACTTTTCTCCCACGAGTGATTCTCATTTCCACTGAGACTTCAGTCCTCCTGCTTTGGGGGATGATGGCTGAATGGAGGGGTAGAGGACAGAGGGTGTCGTTACACATTGCCCTCTGGATTTGGGGGCTATGAATAGTCTAAATAACCTTTTAGGACTTTAGGGCTGAGTCACCTGCCTAAGGAGGATATTGATTCCTAAATTCCTAATAATAAATGTTTGTAGATCTAGAGAACTGAATTGAAGTTGTGTGTATTTACTGAGGAGTGAGCTGGCTAAAGCTGTTTGATAAGAAGGGGTGAGAAAGGCAATGGAGTTGTTTTTAAATTTTTTTACCCTGGAGTCATTTCTGTACAAGATCTCAAACTGATAGCTTGAAAGCTACGTGCCCCTGCTGTGGGAATCAGTGTGGGGCAAACAGGAAACAGATAACGGGCAGTTAGGCTAGTTACAGTTATGCCAACAAAGAGAAGAGAAGCCCCAAAAACATCACCAACTTTGGAGGCAAGTCAGGGTATCCTGAGTGTAATGTTTAAAAATTGTCTTCATTTGTGAAACCTCTGCTGATCTCTCCGACTTTCAAGTGACTTTGTCTTCCAAAACCTCTAGTTGTAAGCTAGTTGAAACACGCAGCGTATTATTCAGATGATGGGTGGGTCCCCAGGCTACACCCCTAGAAAACGTCTAACAGAATGGAGCTGATGCATTTACAAGAGTAAAAGGCAAGAACAAGAAAGCTGGCTATGTGCAGTGCTCATGGACGCGGAGGATGTTACTGGTTTGGGGGGTTCAGAAAGCTGGAAAAGGGAGACAGGTGAATATTTAGAGCATAGCAGCTGCTGTAATGACCAGAGTGTGGACCCCTGTCCTGTCCTCCAATGGACCTTCTGAACCCGCCCTTGCCCCCCTTCCTGCCCCCCCCCCGCCCAGTTGTCTTGCTATCCAGACTTCAGCCCCTTTCTTCTGAGGCAGGCAGAGGGGTGGGCTGCAGAATCACGCTCCCCGGTGCCTGGGCTTGTCTAGAAACGTGTTTCCCTCACCATCATCACTCTTTGATTGGTCATCACTGGCCCTGTTTGGCAAATGAGGAAACTGAGGCAGTGATGTTTTCAGCCAAATCTCAAGTCTCCTGTCAGCAGGACCCAGAGTCGGACATCAGACCCCCATCTAGATGTGCCCCCTGAAACCACCGGTCTTCGGGTGAACGAGGCTGTATTTTTTCCCCGTCGGTTGGAAGACTTTACCACCTGAACCAACTCACACGGTTAGAACAGGGCACGAAACCGAATACACGACCCCTTAGTTCCCTTTTCTTCAAAAGGAAACTCAGTAGGAACAGACTCTCATTCAAGTATTGTTGTGCATTTAATTGGCCCTAAAAGTAAAAGATATAGGACGATAAATAAGCAGAATCTGAAATGAATTCAGATTTAACTCTCTCTGCCGAAGTATTAATGTATTTGGTCCATGTCACCAACAGGCTGAAGTTGGGAAGAAATATTTAAAATAGTAATTTCTAACATTTTCAAGGTTTAAAATAGTAATTGAACACTGTCTAAGCTCTAGACTCTGGGCTAAATACTTTGAATACATTTTGTTTTATCAACTCAATGAGGAAGAGATCATTTCATGCCCCTTTCACAGATGGAGAAATTCTGACGTAGGGAGGATAAGTAACTATTCAGAGACACACCGCCAGTAGCAAACTAGGACTTGCACCCAGATTGGATGATTCTAGAGCTCCAGTTGATAGCCACTGAAATATACTGCTTCCCAGTGATTTTTTTTCTCTTCAAAAAGCTTTTTTTTCCCCTGGAGTCCAACTGTCCAGTTTGTTTATCTACTTATTTATACTCTGCTTTAAAAAAAAAAAGTAAGCTAATTTACAAAAATGTATTCAACAGAGCCAGTTAAAATTAGTTAAAAAGAAAAAGAAGGCTAACATTCAGGGTACAAAAATAGGTTGGAACCAGGGGTGACGTTAGAACACCAAACGTGTGTCCTGAAGTCTTAGACGCTTGATTAAAGAGGGTGTTGGGTCTGGCTTGGAGTTTCCCTGCAACCAGTCAAACAAGGAAACATACAGCTGTGCTAGTCGCTGGGTTTGTAAGATAAAAACATGCTGGTTTCTTAGAGAAGGTGTGTAACTCCTGCCACTGAGACCTGAGTGACATCTCTGCTGTGGATGCTCTGAGAAGATGGCATGAGACGGGATGACGCATGTTCTTGCAGCATTAGTGATGCAGTGTCCTAGGGAAGAATCTGCAGGTGGGACGGGACGGCAGGTCAGGAAGGGATGGACACAGGAGTGGGTACCTTGGGTCTGATGGTCAGGCAACGCGGGCCGCACCGAGGACGGAACGAAGCCCTGAGAACCACCTACACCCACAGGCCTGTTCCATCAGAGCACTCATCGCTGTCTGAACTGGAACCTTAACCCCTGAAATGCAGGTGGGAGCCACCAATCAAATGCATAATACACTTAAGAAGACAGCTTTGAGGACGTGACTCTCATTTTACTCTTACTTCAAAAAATTGAGATCGTCTATGTTTGCTGATGCTGTTTTTCTGTTTCTTCTATTTTTAGGCAAAAAGTCTCAGAAAAGGTAAGTTTGATGAGCGAGGGGTTTCTACATCTGTTGGTGTCTTCTCTACCTTCCTTAAGATGCTTCCTGTTAGAGTCAGACACGTGAACTCCTTTGTAGCTATTTACATGAGGTCTCATTCAAATGAAGCCTCCCTTAAAAAGCTGTTGTTTTTTAGAAGTAGTGAAGCTGAATGAATGAATGAATGAATGGGACCTATTAGGAAAGGGCAGTTATGTAAAGGGAGCTTTTTCTGATTGTCCCTGAATTTTTCCTTTTTTTCCCCCTTGTCCTGGCTCAACATGAGGGCAATACTTACTAAACACAGTATTCAGGAAACATCCAATTCAGCAAACATTTATTGAGAAACTGATGACTCCCAGGCTTTAAGAAGAAGGTAGTGCTCCAGCCCCCGGGTCCCCAGTGCCTGCTGCTCTGATAAACACTGACCTTCAGAAATCTGAAGTTAGCAAGCAGCATAAATTCTATCTGCAGCTTCCCTAAAGAGACAATTTTTTTTTAAAGATTTTATTGGGGAATTGGGGAAGGGGAACAGCCAAGTTATCCTTCAGTCTTAGTTGTGGAGGGCGCAGCTAGCTCAGTTCCAAGTCCAGTCGCCATCCGGCCACCCGTCGACAGCTTGTGGCCACTCGGCTCAAGGTGCCGTGTTCAATCTTAGTTGCGGGGGGGCGTAGCCCACCACCCCATGCGGGAGTCGAACCAGCAACCTTGTTGTTAGGAGCACGTGCTCTCACCCGCTGAGCCATCCTGCCACCTGTTGGCAGCTTAGCGGCAGCTCAGCTCGGGCGCAGCTCCCTGGCCCATGTGGGAATCGAACCAGTGACCCTGTTGCTCAGCACTCGCACTCTTAACCGCTTGGCTGGCCAAGAGACAATTTTTTTAGTTTGGTCTTAAACCACAGGTTTCTTCAACACATACTGAGAAGAGATGCAGATGTGTGAAAATGCATGGCCCATCTCACAGAAATGAAGATGACAAAACATTTCTCAGTTTGAGGGGCTTGGTGACTTGCTCTGAAATGTTAGGGAGGAGACTGTAAGTAAAAAGAACTATGAAGATGAGGCTTTGGTGACATACTAAGTACCCAGCTAGACTCGGGACCCTTTCGATATGCTGGACATGAAGCGTGATGGTCCCTGAGAAGGTTGGTTCCTTATTCAGACAAACATCCTAAAAACCACAAATTGTTACTGAGAAGTTCTTAGTTCAGTGGGCTGTGCCCAGAGTGCAAAAGTAGGGGAGACATAAGAGCACAGAACAATCTAGAAGCCATCGCAAAGAGAGTGAACTTATCTTGAGGTCTGGGGGGTGTCACCATAGTTTAAGCAGCTGAGTGTTATGCTGACATTTGCATCTTGAAGACCTTTGCATCTGATCTATTAGGGTCACTCTACACAAACATGGGAAGTGGGTGAGCTTGGAGGCAAAGTACTGTCTTGGAGGAATTTGAAGTTATTGGGCTAAAGCTGATAGTGCCTGTCTAGAGAAATGGCAGTGAAGACGTGTTCATGAGATAAGAGGAGGTAGAATTAATTGAATATGGTTATTAACTGGCTGAGAGAGAGAGAGAGAGAGAGAGAGAGAGAGAGAGAGAGAGAGAGAGAGAGAGAGGGAGAATTCAAAGAAGTTGTCACAGTTCTGATCAGGGAACGGATGACTGGTTTCTATCTGTGCCAAACGGTACTATTTCCTGAGAAGGGCACAAAAGCATGGGTTTGGAGGTAGGGCTCCAGGGTTCGGTGTTGTACATGTTGTGCTTAAGGCGTCTGCAGCTCATCCACAGGGTCCGCCTTGGGGCAGGAGACGTGGATTTCGGGGTTGAGGTAACAGCCATCTCAGGAGCAGATGCAATCATCCAGGGAGAGCGCAGTGTGAGGACGAAAGAGGATATAACAGAGGAAGCGGGGACCAGAGCAACATCAGTGTGGAGCCATCAGCTAAGGCATGGAGACTGGGAAGAGGTTTCTAGGGTTAGGAGGAGAGGACGGGGTCGAGAAGGCTTAGGAAAGAAGGAAACGCTGCCAGAACCAGCAAGTGTTCACTGGACGTGACGAGGGCGTTGGCGAGGAGGCTCAGACCTTGACTCTCCCATGAAAGGTGCTATCACGACACGCTGCCTTTGGCTCTCTTTTTAGTGTTGAGGTCATGACAGAAGTCCCACAGCCAGGGGACGAGCAAAAGGTGGGGATGAGAAAATAGAGGTAGAACGCATAAGCTATCTCTTTTAAAAAGCTTGGCTGCAAGAAGGTGAGAAAATTGGGGGTGATAGGGCAGGGAAGTGGGGTCAGTGGAGGTCCCTTTAGTCTACATTATTGCCCCATCTTCCATTCGATAGTGTAGATGGGGACCTAGACCCTTCTCTGGGCTGGCCTCCTATCTCTGTGGGCAGGAAATCCACAAGATGGAAAGCCTTCTTTCATGCTCACACCCACTGAGTGAAAGTTTTTCTGGCACATTCTACCCAGAGCTCTTTTCTGGCCACAGGAACCACCTGTGTTCTAATTACCACTAGATGGAAGCAGATCAATTCAACTTTTTAGATGTCCGTGGGGAACAGGAAGAGATGCTAGCAGGAAGAAGAGTATTAGCATTTGGTTAATTACCATATTAAGCTAATTGCCACACCAAGTTGAATGACTCACTGATTTTTACAATGAATCCACCAATAGTTGTATATTGAACACCTCTGTGTAGGAACAAGGCTAAGCTGGACTGAGACACCAAGACGAGTAAATCCTTGTCCTGGACCTAAGGGAGATTATCTCGCTAGGGAGTTGAGACAGAAAGAGAGAAAAAGAAAATCAGAAAAGTATAAGGCAGGATATAGTTATGAATTCTGTATGGAAGAAAAGACTCCTTTAAGACAGACGATATTTGATGATCACAGACAATCTGAAAACCGAGATGGATCCTGGGTTGGTTTTGAAGGATGGATAGGACGCAGGCGTGTGGAGCGACGCAGGGAAGGCAGCCTAGAGAGATGAGGTGGCTGGCATGGCAGCAGGACTCTGAAAGCATGGCAGGGGCCAGTGTGTAGAAGTGCCTACAGCCCACGGTACAGAGGGGCTGTGATGAGAAGGTGAAGGGGGCCATCAGCACAGGTCCTTAATGCTCCCCCAGATGTTCTAGAAAAACCTAGCAAGGAAGAGTGATTTGCCCAGCTGCCTAGGAACACCTCTCGTTTATTGACCAAGGTGACTTTAGTTCATAGAATCATAGAATTTTAGGTCTGGAAAGGGTTTTTGTGGACATGGCATTCCAACTGTGGATAACCGAGCTAACTGAATAACTTCCCTCTAGGCTCTGAGCTAGTGACAGAGTTAGTTACAATAATAATAAAATTTATCAAGTGCCCCGTGCCCTGTTCTAAATTTCACAGGTCTGAAATCATTAAGTATGGCCTGCAGGCCTGTGTGGGCAGGAATGACCCGTTTTGCAGGTAAAGGAACAGAGAAATTCAATAGTGGGACCGAGGTCCCTGAATAAATGGCAAGGCTTAGATTTGTACCCACCTAGATCCAAAGAGCATGCTGTTACCCTTTATGCTTCTAGAACTCAGGACCCTTGACTCCCAGGTGAGAGCTGTGAAGTCCCAGACACGCCCCTCCAGTAATGTGATAACTGTTTTTCACGCTGAAACCACTGTGTGATGGCACTGAGGAAGGGTGGGGTGGAAGAAAGAGGGCGTGTTTCTAGAGCAAGCCAAAGGCAAAATGAACATGGCAGGGGCTGAACACCATGTGTCAATATTTTTAACACCCTTGAGCTGAAGGTCGTCGCCCTTGGTGCTCAATCCTATTAGCTTTTGCTTGATGAGTGGTGAACTCCTAGGGCATTTGTGGTTTCAATTTCTTGCTGGGTTATTTTGACTCTTCTGCAAACTGGTTCTGTTTATCATTCATTTGGTTTCTAGTGTCTAAATTCTGCCTGGGTAAAAGCTACACCCAAGACACACAGGAAGACACGATGCCAACCTCAGAGGAGGCCTATGTGAAATACTGTTTTCAGAAAACATTTTTTATCTCTGCCTTGGCAAGCATGTTTGCAGCTGCTGAACTGTGGTTTCCCCTGGCAGTTCATCATGAGAACAGGCTCAGAATCTGAGTCTCCTGTGAAAGGTGCTATTAAGACACACCACATCGGGTTTTCTCCATCCTTTCCAAGAATGAGACCACTGTTTCACACACACACACACACACACACACACACACACACACACACCAAGCATCATTTATTTCATGAACTGGACTTTGTCACCATCTCCTTACGCCGTGCCCACCAGAGTCGGGCCTTGAGACCCACCACCATAGCTTGCGTGGATTTTTAGTTTCTCTGATTCCTCTTTCCGCTTGGCCAGCCTGCTACTTCCCTGGCTTTCCGCTGTTCAGACTCGACCTGAAGTGTCCCACCTGCTCACTAGCTCTGAAGCCCAAGCCTGTGCTGCAGGCGATTCCCGCTGTGCTCTGTGGGGCAGCGGTAAGAGCATCACCAGGGAGCTGGTTAGAGATGCAGAACCTCAGGCCCCGCCCAGACCCGCGGATCAGGGCCTGAGCCCCCCTCTGGGTGGGGAGCCCCTGAGCATGTGAGGAGTGCTGCTCTGGGGTTCTGTCCCCATTCCTCTGCCTCAGGGCCTGTCCTGCATATTGTCTCGCCCACAGGAGATAGTTGCTTTACTTCTCACCTTTAGTAGATATTCACCTTTCCCGCTGACACTTTAGTTTTTCAGCTCCTCTGTCTAACTTACATTCTCTTGTTTTTCATTCAGCACGGATGACCCGTACTAAACCACCCTCCATGAAAGAAAATTTTCGGGGTCCTACAGCATCCCTGGATCCTCCTGACCCCCATGAGACATTCCGGACACTGGGGTGTCTCCTCCACTGAGATGACGTGCGTCTCTTTCGGGACATCTGAGAAGATTTCTCCACGACCGGCAGCTCCCCCTGGCCCCTTGTGCCCCTCGCCCACCCCCACCCTCCGCCCGCAGTTGTGTTTTTGTAGCTCAGGGGTTCATTCTCTTTCCTGTGCAGAAACGAGACCACAGGGGGAAAGGAATACTGTGGCACGTACAGGTGTCCGATTCGCTCTCTTTCTTGACTCCTGTTTGCAGTTTCAATTCAAGGCTGCACCTGGCGACATGTACTTCTAAATACAGCGAAGGTTTGCTACATAGGCAACCACAGGTTCAGCTGGGTTGTTGCACATCACATTTTAACTCCTGGCCCTCCAGTAGACTGCGGGGGGGAGCGGGGAACAAAGTCATAGGAAGTTCATAAAATGGATGTTATCCTTGCTTTCCAACTCCAGCAAAATAACGAAGTTCAGCTCCAAAGCAGAAAAGTCCTATTTGCACTGTAGCCCCACCTCCTGTAAATGGGGGCCGTCCTATCAGACGCCTCCGGCCTCCCCCCTCCTTCAGCCCGCTCCCTTTGTCAGCTGGCTAATTCCGACACACAGCATCTCATGAGCACCAAACAGGAGGAGAGAGGAGAAAGATAGCTGGCATTGCTTTTTTTTTGGGGGGGGGGAGAGGATTTGGGGTTTGTTGTCTCTTTTTATTAGGCCCACCCAGATTTTTTGAATTCCATGTTTCTTTTAAAACCACTATATTGTTAATAAAGAAACATTATCACCAGGACGCCAGCTGCAGGCAGCGCCTCTTTGATGTCATACAGAAGAGTTAAATCAAGGGGAAAGCGATTCCTTGCCCGGCTGGAGTGCTCCCCTTCCCGCCCCCAATTCTCTCATCCTTCTATCTGGATTCCATCTATCTTTAAGATTCACCTCAGGCCTTCCCCACCCTCACTGCTTCTTTCATTACTCACCCTTAACTCGTCCAACTCATGGTAATCTCCCCTGCCTGGCTTCCTACTGCAAGGTTGTTTTTTTGTTTTTAATATTACCTAGTTTGTCATTTTAAAAATTATCATATGTAAATTTCCTCACCAAAGAAGCTCTGCCTTCCCTGAGGGCAGAGATTGTGCCACCTCCCTGCAGTGCCTATTGCATTACTCGACAGTCAATAAATGTGTATTCAGATAAACCAGAAAGCATCCAGTGCACTGTTGACATAAGTTGCGGTAAACCCTCTCTCTCCACGGCATGTGATGACCTGAACAGACACTCATCTAATGTCAAGGGCTGAATTCCTATAACACAACAGGGCCCTATGCAAAAACTAGTCGGAAACACCTCCGTGTCCCATGGCCAGTCCAGCTTCCGGACACAGTTTTACATGCTTTGGGAATGTCTTTTTTGTGATGGTTACATTCTCCTTTCTCCAAGCCATCTCGGATTCTGCATGACAACAAGGGCTGTTGCAGGAGATTCCTCACGTTTCTCACTGTAAATCTGGGCCATGTCACTGACATCACAGGGCTTAGGATACACCCGTCAGAGTGTCCAGTGTCCAACCTGCCCAGCTCCCCAGGCAGCCCTGGTTGCAACGGCTTGTTCCTTACACATCTGGCTCGAACAACCCAAGTGGAGACGACTTCCCGGAAACAAGATGAGTATAGATTTAAAAACACAGTCCTGTGTTCAAGTCCTACAGCTACTATGTGATCTCAGGAATTACGTTATACCACATCCCGTACAGAAAGATTCATAAAGAAAGCAAGATTCACAAGGAAACTTTTGCCAAAGATCTTGGGTTTAACGTCCCTGAGACTTACTTTCCTGTTTCCTTGCCTATAACATAAGAATGAAACATGCCTTTTCATTGTGTTTTTTCGTTATGTTTAACTCACAGGGCTATTGTGATGATTGAGTCAGGTATGACGTTGCCTTGTGAACTGAACCTTCTTTGCAGATTTTTTTCCCCCACCCAAATCCTGCCTCTCGTGCTTTCTTGGTGTAGGATTCTTGGTGCGAGGGCTTGAGCAGAAGCAGGTCGGAGGCCTCCTTCTAAGACTAGAAACCAGAGGGTCCTTCACTGTGTTCAAGCAGAAACCCAGCACCCAGAGTCTCACCACAGGCCAGCCCTGCTCCCTGTACCCTTGCTGGATGGGCTGGAAGGGCGTGGGTTGGGAAGTCAGACCTGCCCACTGGGAATCGCACCTCCACCTCTGTGTGACGCCGCCGGTCATCCGCCTTTCTGAATTTCAGATTTATTTATGAAATGGGGATGCTATTAACGTCCTCATACAGCTGTGCTCTAGGTTAAATGAAATAACCCCTTTCTCCCATAACTCAGAATAGAGCCTAAGGGACACAGAATTACCCATGTCTCTGGGTTTGTTTGCCAGAGCTCGGGGGGGCCTGGGCTACATGATTTTAGTTTCCTGCAGAAATATCTCATGAAACTAAAATTTAATTTTATGACCTTAGCTCAGATAAGGAAAACCTGTCCCCTGAGTGTCCCACGTGTCCCATGCTTGACTCTAGTTGTCACCCCTCTTCCCTAAGGCTGGTCTGTCCTTTGACACCTGCCTGAAACAGAGCTGGCTCCCTGATGATTTAATGAGAAATAGACGAAGTGAGAAAGAGGCCTCCTATCCAAACCATACTGTGGAAAATAAATCAGGTTATCCTTCAGACACCTATATCTTCTCCTTCAAAGTTCCCATTCTCTGCAGCCAACTCATCTCTTGATTTCCACTTTTCTCCAAAGTTCTAAAATTTCCCTCTCTTGACTCCAGCAATTTGAGTCTTCCTTGTGTTCACATGTCCCATTCTGGGCCGAAAAGCTGCCACTACCCAAACAACCCACAACCCAGGACGAAGGACAAGGAAATCATCAGGAGAAATGATGAGATTTTCACTTCCCTTTGGCCTTGGCAGGCTTGTCCGATTCAGTGGGCTCTTTGCATGTCATGAGAACAGCCTTCCCTTAGACTCTGAAAAGTTTAATTGGAACCAAGCTTTCTTCAGCATCTTGGTACAAAGTGTGGTCCAAGTAACGGATCTATTAATAGTAGCAGTATTCCCAGCTCCAACAGTTCTAATAGCCATAGTAGCTATGATGATGATAATAGTAACAGATTTATGTTTATTATTTTAAACGGATTTTGGTTGGCATCCGATTGTCTTATTTGACATTAAAACATTCTGTAAAGATTCTACCACAAACAGACCTGTATTCAGGCAGCTCTGAAGGAGTTCAAGGTTGAAAATAGCAGATATAAAGCCACAGAAAGCAAAGTTGGAACAAAATATTTTGGCAGAAATAAGATATTTAAAAGAAAATCAGGACCAAGGTGAGCATGAAAATTAAGCTCTCTGAGATTCTGAGAACTTTTAGAGAGGGTTTTGGGCTTCCACAATTATCAGCATTTTTAATCCATTGTATCTAGATTTTAGGGGCAGAGGAGCCCTAGCTGACATCTGGGTTGCTTTCTTCATAGCATTTAACCCTTGGTTCAGGTGTTATCATCCCCATTTCAATTTTCAGGAAACTCAGAGATATTAAATAACTTTTTTAAGTCTACATGGTTTTCATGTGCCTGTTTAATAGGTAAGGAAATGTGGTATTAAAAAGATTTGTGCACCTTATGCTGAAAAGAAAAGGGAATAAATATATACTCAGAAGAGATTTGGTTTCAAATATTAATGCTGGACGGGCTGGGCAGCCAAAAGAACGTGGCTATTTTCCAACTTACACCAAAATTACCATTGAAAGTGACCTTGAGCAAACAGGCTGTGGCTCTTGACCTCAGCATCCTTAGAACTCACCTCTCTCTAGCTGGAGGACAACAGGTGCTCAAAATTGAGTGATACATGACGAGGCAATGTTTAGTGTGAAGAGAATTTAGGCATGGGATAGTAGTTTTTACTTAACCAATTAAACATCTACCCAGCATTTACCATTATAAGAAATGTCACCAGAGGCTGTGGACACACGGGGCAGAGTCCTACCCTGAAGGACCCAGCAATGGAGGTGGAAGGAAAAAAGCACCTCTAACTGCAATCCCAGGCAGTGTGCACAGTGGCTGCTGAGTGTGCGAGCTCAGAGATGCTGTGGTTCAGCGGAGCGAGGGAGGGGCCGCTTGGCAGAGGGCAGCAGCATTCATAGATAAAACTAGGTCCTGAGTGAGGTCTCATTAGGAACCAGGTGAGGTAAGTATCTAAGACATAGGTATTGAAGTCAGAGACGTCAGACAGGTTTGACTGGCTTACAGAGAACCAGCAACAAGAAAAGCATAGGATAGCTTTCAACCCCAGACAAAAGTCTGTGCATTTATTCTGTAGCTTCTGGGAAAACTTGAGCAAGAGAGGGACAGGACCACACTGATATTCCAGGAAGATGAACACAGCTGAGGGTTTAGGAGTGGAGAAACGGAAGCAGGGGGCCTAGTCAGTGAGTGAGGATCCGGGTGGGGCCAGGAAGATTCCAAGAAACGCTGTCAAGCCTTTGGTCTCTGACTAGCTGGGGTCAGGGGACAGGGAGGGGGCTGCAAGGGAGTGTAACAAAGCACTCAGAAAGGAAAAACATACAACAAAGATTCTGGTTAAATATGGTTTATGCAAATGTTCTTGTTTTTTCAAAGATCTTGTAGGAAAGTCCCTCCTTTGTTATATTTCCTCTACATGAATGCATCTCCTTTATTCTTAATTTAGGATCGAGTCGAGGATATGGTCCAAATGGCTTGGGATTCATGAAGAAAAGTGGAGACTGAGGATGGAAAAGTCCCCCCCAAAATTGGGGCTATGATACATGTGGGTTTGCATCAGCTCTGACCCTTTAAATGGAAACAATCTGAGTTTAGTTTCAGAAATGCAATTCTGACAGAGACCCTGCTGCACACCGGCCAACCCTGTCTCCAGGTGGTGGGAAAACGCCTGTCCATCGGGCTCACGGGTGACTGTGGTCAGTTTCGTGTGGACCTAGAGTTAACAGGCAGAAGGCACATTTGAGGGTGCAAATGACTTGCACAGTTGTGTTGGTAACTTCTGGAGCATTGTATGAACATTCTAGATAAATCAGTATCTCTTTAGAAAGCATAGGAGTTGTTTCCAAAATGTTCTATTATGAGGAAGGAACACTCATTAAAGTTTAAAAAATCGCAGGATAGCAGTTGTTTTTACCACTCACTAACTGAGAAAAGACAGATGTATATATGGATGAGCAAAATAAAACCAAAAACTTCTTGCCTGGAGGGAGGTTAAGGCCCAGATGTTAGAAACCACTGCTTATTCTCACACTATGCAATAGCTTGAAAAAGCCCAACTTTATAATCTCAGGATTTTCATCTTCATCAGACTATGTATTTACTAGTAATCCCCAGGCAAAAGCGCCTTTGCTTGATTTCATGGACATACGCATAGGGAACACTTCACTTAACAATTAGCCAATTCTGCTACATGTGAACTATGTACAAAAATGATCACATAATAGGCTATAAAGCAAGTGTCAATAAATTTAAAGAGCTAGAATCATACCTATATAAGTTAATAAAAAACAACTAAATTAGAAAACCCCAGAATGCTTAATAATTTTTAACAATTTAACTCAAGTCAAAAAAAATCACAAAGAAAATTTTGAATTTTTATTAAAAATATTAAAAATACTATGTATCAGGAATTGTGGAGTAGCAAGAAAATTTATCATTTTAATGCTTATATTAGAAAAGCAAAAGTAAAAATTAAACACCCAACTTAAGATGTTAGAGGAAAACAAAAGATAGAATAAATTATAAGTAAAAAGTGGGAAATAATACATTTAAGAGCAGAAATTAATATATAAAAACAAAGAATAATAGAGGATCAAAAATAAACACTGATCAAGGAAAAAAGAAAAATAGTGTAAATGTACAGAATTAGGGGTACAAAAAAGATATATCTAAAGATATAATTTTAAAAAGAGATTTTAAAAAATAATCTAAAAAGCTTCTACACAGCAAAGGAAACCTTCAGTAAAACAAAAAGGCAACCCACAGAATGGGAGAATATATTTGCAAATGATATGTCCGATATGGAGTTGATATATAAGAAACTCATATAACTCAATAACAAAAAAATAACAATCCAATTGAAAAAATGAGCAGAACACCTGAAAAGACATTTCTCTAAAGAGGACATACAGATGGCCAACAGACATATG